AAACGAAACTCGTTTCTACTTTCCAGTGGCCGTAAGTTCCCCTTTAAAGGTACCTTCGGTCTATTCCGGGTAGCACCGTAAATACGCGGACAGACGACTTTAAGAACGATATCGTAACGTTTCCACTCGCTTGCGCGGAAGCGTTGTCGGGTTGGCTAACACTGCTGGCTGGCTCCCCCCTCGGTTCCCTCAGCCACGTTCACCCACCCTCCTCGTACGAGATGAGAGATATACCTCCTAATGTGCTTTCCATTAAGGCCGGCGTCGCAAGGACGTAACGGCGGATACACGGCGGATGATCGCATCATCACAGGATAATGGTTACAACTACGAGCAGTACGTACAGTAAAAGCCGCTGTGTCCTTCCTCGCAGTCACGCCAACGTAAAACTGTGCGCGCGCGCGCGCTCGTTTTATCTGCCGTTACACATTTTGATTTCGCTCACTATTTTCGCACGGGAACAACACACGCGCGCGCGCCTTTTTTTAGTGCCGCGCGAGGATGAATAGATATAAACGTTAATATCGCGCCACGAGAACGCGAACACGCGGAAGGAGACGACAGTAATGTGGGCTTCACCATGCCGGGTAATGGATTTTCTCTCGCAGCGAACCGTAAGACAATGATCGAGTGTACACCTCGCTTGACTCGGAGAAACTGAAGTGCGACGACATTTTTGTGTGTGCGTGTGTGTGCGCGCGCGCGTCAGTTCCGTTTCGAATTTCCTCGGCTGTTTGCGCAGCTGATTGTCCAACTCCGGTAAATTTCGAGATAAGAGGCAAAATCTGAATTTCAGTCGCGCGACAGCGTCGAAAACTCTAATGAAAGTTCCGTCGCGCAAACACGCGCAGTTTGTACAACAGCTGCGACAACCCAGAAGCAAATCGTGGCCGTGTCCCAGTGACTCATTTTAAGTCGATTTCAGAGGATCGCAACATTTACGAGTGCGCCACCCCGGTGGCGGCCGTACATCTCTCGCCGTTTCACCCTCCTTCCAGTCGTCTCTCACCACCCCTTGGCGCAATTTGAGTTTGAACGCTGGCAGTACCGAACGTTTTACTCGCTGCGCTCATTTGAGCGTGTTTACGACTCCGTTATTTTCCGCCGCTCCACTTTCGGGGCCGGGCTGCGTTTTCCTTTCGCGCATCGAACGGAAACGCCAGGAAATGTGTCATCGCGAGTATTTTCGCGTCGACTCTGCGCGCTATTAGACGGCTTTTCACGTTCGCTGAATCGATAAGCTCGCAACGAAACACGTTCGTCGCGTGTTTGATACTTGTGAGGAAGATATTTTCTTGAATGAGAAAATGAATCCCTGAATGATTCCTGCCGCGAATGAGTCCGCGCCGCGCTGAAATGTCTCGCGACCTAATCGCGTCGCATTCACAGCTGAATCACCCTGCTGATGCCGAAGCTTTGATAAAACTTCTGGGAGAACTGATTTTACAAAAGTGTCGGGCAGAGGAGGAGAGAAATGCCGGAAGTCCTCGCGCACAATCACCTAAATTACAAGGAGGGCCGGTTGGATCGCGGAATTATCGGCAATTAGGATTTGCATACACATGGAAGTGCAATCGCGCTCGTCCCCTAGTTAAAATCACGTTACTGCTCCTGAAGTTATAACGACGATATATCACCGAGGGCTTTGTACCGCGAAGACGCATCATTGCGGGCGAGTGCCCGAATTCGCGTGCTTAATGCGGCTGTACGCCGGAACGTTGCCCGCAATAATGGCGCGCCGAGGCTTTTCGACATTAATCCCGCTTTAATGCGGCGATGTTTTTGTCAATTCACTTCTGGGATCACTGCAACTCGCCGTGAAATCTGCACTTAGGAGAACTGACGAGTACTCCCTGCCAGTGGCAGGATGGATCGGGATGAGTCGGGCTGTTTGCGATGCACTTTCTCCGCGAGTTGCTTTCTTCGCCTCCTCGTGTGACCGCGATTTGTTACTATAGCTCGCCACGACCTCGCATTTGCGCTCTAGCCAGGAATTGTTATTTTACTGCCGGCATAAAGATTAGGCGAAATTAGCCGGGATGATTTAGGAAAGGGCCATGAGATCTCTTCCATCTCGCGCTGAGCTCTCTCAGCTCTCTACAGCTGCGAGTGGATAGAGATATCCTGCATTTAATCTTGCTCTAATCCTTGGTTCCTCGATAAATGTACAGTCGGGATTAATGCTCGCGAAAATATCGCCGCGATTACACCTGTATTATGGTGGCTCGTAAACAAAAGTACGGCGCTCAATACGTTGCTGAGGAGGGTCGGACGCGGGGATCGCGCTGGTTTCACGTTCGCGTGTAAACAGCGACAGTTATTCTCGACGGTGAGTGTAGAAATAAAAAGGAGAGAAGAAGAAGAAGGACGGCGTGAGCGGCACATAACAGGAGCACAGAGCGAAAGGGAACGAACTTCGGATCGGCACATAGGTGCTATGTGGCGCGTGTAGATCCGCCGAAACGCGTGGAACGAAGGAACGCTGGAAGATACGAGAGCGTTGGCGAGATATCCTCAGCGCGCGCGAAACACACGGAGGGGGAGGATGTGAAACCTCGTACATCACGCGTTATCGTTTGTTTCGTATAGAAGGCCAGCGAGCCGCGAATCAAAAGCCGGTTAGGTTCGATTCACGCTGCCGTGTACACAGCGGGAGAGCCCGTCTGCAGCTCTGATCACAATAGATCCGTCCTCTTTAGTCGCACTTCTTACATTAGTGAGTCGCGGGAGAGCCGGTTGGCTCCGTAGTTAACTCAATATTTGCCTTTAGTCGGGACAAAAGGCATCTATCTCTTGCTTGCCAATAATTTCTCCCAAGGCGTTTCTTTATTATCTCCGACGGAGAATCGTCGACGATGCAAATCGAGGGCGTCCCTGCGGAGGCAGAATGAAAAAGGACGAGGTGTCGCCGTTCCTTCCTGCTTGATAACCTTCCTTCCTTCTCGAGTCTCGTTCGCGCTTTCCGAACTTTTCCCGACCCCGTCGATCGACCTCTCTTCTCGCTCCCACCGCACCGCGAATGCCGTTAGACATTCGCTCTCCCGGCCGTTTAATATTTCTCCCTTTTCGCCTGATTCCACATTGGTACCCTCGCCATAGATTGCGCGACGTCGCTCCCTTCTCCGCCCTTTTCGCTCGATTTCACGGTTGCTGCGACGAAGAAAATCGGCGTCGCAGAGCGCGCCGATAAGGCGTCGACGATTGTGATGTCTGCGGGGCATTGAAACGTACCGAAAGCAAAAGGAGCAAGCAATGATACTCGGATTTCGAGATTCCAGGACATTGGCTCGCCGAAACCTCCGCCACTCTCGCGCCCTCGTCCACCCTTTGTTTCGCCCTGATTATCGATTTCTTTTCGGTTTCATAATTCCCGGTATTTCGAAGCAACGAGGCGATCCTCCTCCATGTGACTTCATTTTGCGAGCCGCGAATATCTCGAGTTTGGAATGTTCAGCGGCCGGAAAACCACTCGCAACTCCCTCTAAACGGCCGAGGTATTAGAGGGCTGAGATCCTCGAGAGAGAGGCAGGCCGCCTTCTCGGAGAGACCCCCGATAAAACAGGCGCGCCTGCGTTCGTGTGTGACGACATTTTTGTTTTCATATAAAATACTAGTTGAACTAGCTCGACGGTCGTCGCGTGGAGTTTTTTAATCTGCCGGATAAACTTTCCGATCTGACGTCGTTCGTCGACCGAGAGAGCGACTTCGTCAGAACTTTCAGTCTCTCCTCGTACATGGGATGTATCTCCTTACGTCGCTACTTACGCCAACTTTTCCTACGGGCGGGGGGGCTTTAGCGGACGGAGAGGAGCCAAGGACGAAGTTTGATCCTTCGCCAAGAGAAAGGGGCAGGAAGTCGTTTAAGATTAATGTGCTCTTCTTAGGTTGCTCCTCTACGACTTCAACGCGATTGCGATCCTACTAACAAGGGAACGAACTGGGAAGTTCTGATTTTAATGAAACTTTGCAAATATGTAGAATTGCTCGTCAGAGGGAAAAGATGCGCTAAGGTGACAAGTTGCATTATGTAACATTGCACAGCGATTTTTTAACTTTGTCATTTACACACGAAAGGTCATCTCACTCTCTTAAAGTGAATCAGTGAATAGTCACTGATATCAGTTATAAGTATAGCACTGAGTGCAGCAGTTTCAATGCTGTACCTATAGCTGCAAATCAGTATATATTTACTGCTTTCAATGATGTTTCACCGACTCACTTTAAGAGAGCACGTCTTCTTTATCGATAGGTAAGATTTTAAATGAACGGAAGTTTCTTGAATGAAACCCTCTATGTTTAAGAATGCTGTTAATTTGTGTTTCTCCAATTTCTTTGCGCAGAGACATTGATACACTCATTCAATAAATGTCGGAAGTTCAGTTTTTCTTTCTCCTTTCTTCGCGATCCGATCGCGGTTTTTCTTATTTTTGTATAGCGATAGCCCCTCAATCCACGAGTGTCAGCGTCCGAGACGGGAGAATGTTGCTCATGTATGTCACGAACGCGGGGTGAACGTCAAGACACTGCACAATAATGTAATTGTAGCCGAACGTCACGTTCCACTTGACATCGCGCTACAGAAATAAAGCGGAGAAATGGACGACCGCGACACTACCTTTCTCCATGAAATTGGATCCCAACTCTTCCAGTTATAACTCCTCCTTTTGTCTCATCGATCGTCGGAGTGTCTTCACACGATCATTAGCAATACTTCACACACGGGGTGATTAATGGTAGCCATTACTTTTCTCCCCGCTCATTTTTCCATTCAATTATCTATCTTTCCTTCGCGGAGCCGTGAAACTTGGAGTTTTCTTTGGAACCTGGGATATCTGGAATTTTCAACTCTTCCATTCCGAAAAAAAATCTCGCCTGTTTCTTTCTCCTTGAAAATCCACATCGTGTCCATTCCCCCGGGCATCCTGGCGCTCGGGATTTTCCTTTTGTCCTGGATTGAAGATTGAATATTCATATAAAAGATATACTACGTGTACTTGCAGAACGGACGGGCCAGCAGCGAGAGCAGCGAGGACGGGGCCGGAAGCAGTGCGAGCACCTCGCGAGGAGCCGGCAGCGGATTTGGCCTGGCCGGTGGATGCACCGGCGGATGGCGCAGTGTCTTTGGTGCAGTTTCAGGACGAGAACTCAGATTGTACGAATGCGCACCTTGGAGTCCAGAAGCCTGGGCTTCCCCGAGTATTACTTGCCCGCTTATCGCGACACGGTGAGTGTCACAGTGATTATGACCTCGAGAACATTACACTTCTTTCTGAAAAATTCTTTACCCGTGATGCCTTAAAATCGTACCTTTTAAGATAATATTTACATATTTACGATTTTAGGTTTAAAAAGTTATGAGTGCTGTGAACACATAGACGACTCATGTCCTTCTACGTGTTACAGCGACAATAATAAATATGATTTCATTTGTCTCGGTTCATTGTTTCTCGATTTTTCAAGAAATTATTTCATTCACTGATTGTCTTACAAGCTCAAAGTATTTCGTCCTCAACGATCGTTATTTAGCTCTGAAGTATTTCGCGCTCAAAGTGTTGATCGTCAGTTGAGCTTAAAAGTTCATCAGGGTGACATATGGCCAAATGAAATGGGTCTCAAATCATCTTAAGGTGAACTAAAGATGACCAAATGTCAGATCGAGCTGTGAATACTGCGGCCTTGGCTGTACTTTTAACCTTATTTCTGGCCGATGTGCTCGTCCACTTATGAACTTAAGTCACGAAACAACTCGCCGCCGGCGTCATTAACGGGACAATTCACGTATCGCGCAGATCCCGTATCGACTACGGCGGTCAGAGGGGGTGCGGGAACGTGCTTACGAGCGAAACGAGCCACGTATTGCGCTGCCAACGCGGGCTACGGCCGCGTCACGTCGTAGCACGTACGTCTCGTCGATTTTGCGCTAGCACGGCGTGAGACTGCCACCGTACGTGTTGCCGGGAAATTAAGCGTAAAAAATTCACCGACGTCGCGCGCTCACGGGAGAAACATGACGAGTTCTTTCTGGCGGGATGCGATGCAACAACCTTAAGTACAGGGCTTCGCTATTGCCACTGATAACGCCGGCCGTATTATTCTACGATCCTACAATCTTCCAGCATTCAGTCCTTTGAGCCTACCGTTGGCTTTGATCTTTTATTGATTGCGTTTCTGATTCTGAACTCGTGACAGGAAGATTTTGTTAACAGACTCTGAACTTGTGTGAGACAGATTTTATTAATATTTTCTCTAATCCGTGATTCATTATGACAAGTTATTTTGCCTCTCTGCGACAAGTCTGTTATTAATTATTTATTATGGGAATTTTTCTCTCTCTCGTCCTCCAACAAGAAGATGGGATGAGGCAAACAGTTCTTGAGAGACTGTAACATTCACGTGAAACTCGTCCTTTATCCTCTCCCTCTTCTTCTCTCTCTTTCTCTCTACGCGTGCTGTTCACTTTTAATAAATCTTTAAAGGGATTTCTGGTTGTGCAAAAATCGTAATTAAGGGCTTATTTATAAAAGTATTTAATCCGACGTAATTTGGCGAGCCATATGCGGAAATGGTGGTGCAGGACGAGACATTGCGGACACGTATCCTAGCACGTACCCTGGTATGCAAGCTCTATCGCTACACACTCGTGTTCGGTGGTGTGGTCGGAGGATTACCAATGAGGCACGTCGGATTACCGCAGTTAGCGATGTTCGTTAGACCGCCATTTTAATTAAGACTATTATACATCCGGCCGACTGTTTGCATGGCGTCATCGCGAGGCTCGTTACGTGCCCGGCTCGCGAAATCGTTTTTAGCGTCCGCTTCCCGCGATTCGTTTTACAATCATCGCCGATGCGACATTATACCGGCACTAATAGAGTATCGTCCAGCTGCGCGAGTGCACGCGAGATCCGAGGACTCGACGGAGATAGGTCTAATTACTCGTCGTGCTGATTCCAGCCATTGGATCTGCTTTGGAAGAATCTGCAATTCTATGGAATTCATCGTCCATTAGCTTTGTGATTTGAGGATGATACAGCTTATTGGAAGTACCATTGAACGTACGCCGACGATATTGTGCGTTTTATTCTCTTGACAGAGCGAAGATACATCCAAAAATATTACAAGCTGCAACGTTAGTCGGTTTATTTGCTATAATAATTTTTTCAAAAACCAGAATAAGACAATTGGATCAGTTGACTGATGTAAGAGAAGCTTTGATGGTACTTCCGACTTTATGTATCTTACTAATCTTTCGTGTAATTCCCATGAATCATTTTAGAAACAATCAAACAACCAATAACTTTATGCTTTCCTCCGTGTCTCGCGAAAAAGAAAATTACAAATATTGGAGCACGTTTTGAATAGAAAATAGAGACCTTAAGTAATGAGACAAAATTTCGATTTCTTTTACTCATACAGGGGGAGCAAAGTGGTACTGCCCAGAAATGACCAACGAATCACGCACGGAAGGTCAAAGATAGCTTTCTGCATTATTTATCAGTTATTTTCACGTGAAATCTTTGCGCAAGACTTGAGTAAATTGAGTTGTTGAATTTATTAAAGAAACGAAACTGAGGCTTGGTGTCGTTTAATTTTTTAAAAGAATATTTTTTCATATTTCCGCAACTAATAGGAAAGTTCTTTTGTATTTTCAAGAAAAAATTCTTTTTCTAGCCTCTGGAAATGTACAGACGTATGCTCTTCTCCAATTCAGTCCGAGAATACTGCGTGTGTATATTATCTTTCGTAACAGTTGCAAACAGTCATAAAAATGGCCTCTGAGGGGGTGATAGTCACAGCCATATCGGTTTGTAATGCGCGCAGGAATTCTACCAGCGGATCTGGATAACGAGATTTTGCATGGATGGATAAACTGGTGTTTAAACAAATACATCGATCGTACGTTTATTAATTCCACGTAACGTCCTTTCGCAATCATTGCGGCTGTGCTGCACGCACTAATCACGATTGGTTTCGGTTTTCATGGCGGATTGCCGGGGTTGGTAAATAACCGAGCGAACAAATATCTCGACAGAGCATTTGTCAATAACGGCTCCGAAATTAATAGAACGATAATGTAGATTAGATCACGCGTTAGAGATATTAATATATTAACGATCTAACGTAACGTTAAGTCCCTTCATTTTTATCAGATTGCTGGAATTCTGATATTCCTGCGGGGAGACCGATTTTCAGAGATCTGGCGCTCACGTGCTTTCAAAATTCAAATCTGTTTGTTTCCCCAGAGATTTTCCATAATGGAAAGTTTCGAAAATATAATGTTTGGAGATGTAAAGATGAAAAATAATGGACACCGATACGACGCAGCCGTCGAATCGGCACGTTTCGATGGTGCGAAGTGAACGAAGAGGCAGACAGGGCATGATTCCATTTCTTACCATTACAATACGAATAAATGCTCGCAGTGTAACGGCTGGCACGCGATAAGAGAGCATGAATTTAATTAAATAAACGTCTATTTGTTTAGAAAGACGTAATCAGCGATGCTGCTCGATGCGCAATATTACATTGTCGTAACGGGAGAACGTCGCTTCCGCCGCTACTTTTTCCAATGTATTTATTGCGACGACATTTTCTGCAACCTATTTCCGCTCCTTCCCCTTCTCGATATCAGTGTACAATCGATTTCAACGTCTCGTTCTCCGGACGTTTACCTACCTACCTGTCCGTCGTATTTGTTTATTTGCACACTCGAACGGATTGCGATCACTATTGCATCGTCGTATTAATATACGTTCGAGCGATCGATTTATTTAGACGTTGTTTATTTACTCGCATGCGGATATTTATTCAGTCAACTTCGTGTTGGGACAAACGCCGAGTGGCCGAGATCAGTGTTGTTATAACAGGATCGGTTTTAGTTGCAATCATTTCGAGATGTTCCCGGGGTATCATTGATATGACGGGGGTTCCCTAACTTCACAATTTTATGGCTGATTTTCATCATTATACTGTACAGTATCCTCCTATACAGCTACTACCTATCAGAAACTGCCTTCTAAGATATCTTCGTAAATATTGATTTTATAGCAAAATGCTTAAAACAGAGTATTTAATCTTTGTCTAATAAGTAATAGGTAAGTATTAAACGAAAAATAACTTTTCGAGTGAAGACCTACCTGTTACTCTTCCTGTTTCTCTGGGTCTTTTTATTACAAGGTCACGGTCAAGCTGCTACAGTATCGTTGGATACTGCTTTCTATCCTCTACAATTACAGCTGATTAAGAACAGAGCTTTCCGACGACCGAAATGTAGTCCCTTCAAAATTATTTAACCTTTACCTTAAACATTTTCTGCACAATCTATATTTATGAAGATATCTAATTATTTCTAACGATTTATCCTGTATACAGAGAGGACTTCTCAATTGGATTATTATGAAACAGAGATATCTCTTCTTACGCGCCTAAATAATTCCATCAATATTTGTTCTTAAATGTCACTCTTTGACGCGGAGTGTCTGTGAAAGCGGATAAAAATTTATTTCTAAAATATTTGCGTCGTCAAGTGTTCGTCACTTTCCTTGAAACATTTCCAGAGGCGGGCATTTCTCCGGAGGAGTTACTGTTTTTTTGCAGAAACGCTGCTTCAATTTACCGCCTCAATCGTGAATCTCATTTACGGGACTCGGCATCGCGGAAAGCGGCTTACAAAAAATTTAAAGGAGCTTTAGTTTTAAAGCTGACTTCGAGATAATTTGCGTCGCGAACTACACATTAAAGTCCACTTTAAATCTCGACTAACTTGAAATTCCTCGAGCGAAACCGCTTTCGCGTCGCCGTCCGGGAATTATCTCTTGCTTCTTTAAACCGTCACCGTGTTGCGATAGAATAATTAATCGTATGGAATAATTAATGGACTAGCTAATGGCTCGCTTTAATCCCACCAAACTTATGCACTCCAAAATGACGATTAAAAATAATAATTGATTTTGGTAAACAACTTTCTTGGTATCAGCATCTATCTTCTGCTTTGTGAATATGAAAATAGAAATCACGTTTGTTTTTTTATCAGTACTCAATACCTTTGATACCTACGGTATTGCGACAATAAAAATTGAATTTAGAAGTATGACCAAGTTTAGTCCAATTTTGTGGCATTGGAAACCTTAAAAATTATTTTTCGATAAAATTGCGGGTATTTATGAATAGATTAAAAATACATATAAATTTCGATAAAATGTTTGGTATTTATGAATAGATTAA